AATAATCTGGGGCACAGTGTGCCTCAACCCATTATACCTGACTGGCCTTTGCTGATATGGATGACAGGAGTTGCAGTCTTATTTCATTGGAAGGCACCAGTTTATCATGTCAGATTAACATTGGGAAGATTTAAATCCCATCTCAGCTTAAATGTCTCTAATCTCTCTCTCTCTCTTGAATGCAAGGAAGAACCATCATCACTAGGTTCAGTGATCACTAGATTAGTGTTTTCTTTTCTTTTTAAATAGCACAATACCAACTCGGTAATATGCTGCATATGATCCTCAGACTCTTTTTTCCAAATCCTTCATAACAAGCTTTAAAAGGAAATTGTAGATTTTAAAAAAGACCTTTTTTCCCCACATTTTTGGTCCACCCATCTCCCTCAAAGAGATACCGTTCAATGGAAGAGAGAAGGGAGGAACTGCTACGGGGTTGACATTCTGTGGATGAAAAACCAAGCTGTGTTAATAAATTGGACACGTGAGGAGATTAAAATGTTCATTTCTTGAATGGTTCTTCACTTAGCCAGATATCTATGGACAATTTTTGAAAGAAAGCACCTTGGGTTAACCAGAAAAGAAGCTCTGAAGAAGAGGGTAGGATGACCGTATCTGCTTTAGTCCTAACCTATTCAGGATTGAATTCTCCACCAGTAAAGTGAAGGTAGATGAGTCTAGGTGACAGACCTGATCTTAAGGATGGATAGCAAGTTCAGATATCTTAAGAAGCTGAAGATAATCTTGATGAGCCAGTAACAACAGTAGATTAACCTGTGGTCATCAAGACCACCATGGGATGAGAAAGACAAAGGTGGCTATATCCTTTGGTATCTCTTCAAGAAGGAAATCTCTTCAAGAAGGACTCTCTTCAAGAAGGAAATCTTCTTCTTCTTCCTAGCACATTCCCACAGGTGCAGGGTCCGCTTTTCGGATCATTGAATGCTACTTTGCATGGTCAGCTGAATCTCAAGGGCGCAAGCCAGCAGCTTGGATATGTTTGTTGATGGTGTCTTGCCATCTCTGTTTTGGATGCCCACGAGGTCACCAGCCATTGACTTCTAGTTGGTAGGCAGTCTTGGCCACGGTGGAAGGTGCTGCTCTCTGGACATGTCCATACCAGCGGAGTCGGCCTTCTCTCATCTTCTCTATAATTACAGCCACACCAAAGTGTCAAATGTCGATTGTCAAATGATGTCATTTGTGATGTGGTCAAGAAGGGAGATGCCCAATATCCAAGGCAGCATTCGCATTTCCATAGCATGGAAAGAGCTTTTGGATCCAGTTGCTGCTGCCCAGCAAGAAGGAAATGGCGGAAAGATATACAGGAGGCATCTGAACCATGGAAGTAGGAAGGGATTGTCCAGAAACCTAGCATCTAATCCACTTTTGCTGCAGAAGTAAAGATACTGGAGATTGTCCCAAAATGCAGTCTCGAAGTTGCTCAAACAGGACTAACAAAATGAAATTCAATGTAGAGATGTAATGCCATGACCGTATTCCTGTTGGAAGTCTGAGCTGCCTTTTATCAGAGCGTTCCCCAGGATCATTCCCATGTATAACAAATCCCATGTATAACAGAATACTCAGTTGAGGTACAAAAGATGTAGCTCAAATTACCCTACTTTGGGTACATTATGCAAAGACCCAGCTCTGAGAGTAATACTTTAATAAAGGGAAAAGTGGAAGGAAAAAGAACAGAATGACCAACCACAAGACTGAGGGACTTGGTTACAGCACAATGGGTACATCATTAGAATATTCAAAATATCGTGTTATATCAGAATGGAGAAAACCTTTCAATTAAACAGTCCTTGACATATGACCATAATGGAGCCTGCCCATTACAATAGTATGTCAAGATGGTCATAATTTTATAATGTTTTTTATGGTGGTTGTTAAGCCAAGTGTAAATGTTATTGCCATGTTGTTGAGCACCTGAAGTTTGACCACATGACCACAGAGAAAGCCCAACCATTGGAAATTCAAATTTGGGTTGTAGATTCCCAAATGGTTGTAAGTTGAAGACTACCTCTATGTGGTCACTAAGAGTCGACTCCAATTTGATAGCACATAATCAAACCATCCTTAGAAAAGGGGACATGTATACAAAGACAGATACAAGGGAAAGGCCAGAAATGATAGAGATTGTGTCAGAATGAGCTGAGGCTGGCCAGAAATGTCTCAAACAACAACAACAATTATCAGTTACAGAAGGAAAAGCACAGAGGTTTTGTAAAGGGTACATTGGTAATGGATGACAGCAAGAAGGCAGAATGTGGTAGCTCATATTTTTAATCTCTCTTTTCTCAGGAGAAATGAAACTGTGGCTGGGCATTGTTGTGTGACTAGCAGGAGGGAGCTGCAGCTCGGAACAGAACAAGAGAGCATAAAAGAACTCTTAGCTAATTTAAACAAATGCCCATCTTGAGGGCCAGATGGTTACATCATAGTGTACTGAAGGAACTAACAGAACCGCTAGCTGTGATCTTTGTGAACTCCCGAAGAACTGGCAAAAAAAAAAAAACCTTAGGAGGAGTGCAAACACTTTAGCAGGGAGTCAGAAAGATCTAGACAGACTTCAAAAGAATGAAATTACTAAAAGGAAATATAAAATTATCCATCAGGGAAGAGAAGGGAAGGGTTATCCAGCTGCTTTCATGCCTAAGATAGGGGTAGAACTCACAGTCTCCTGGTTTCTGGACCAGGCTTTAACCACTAGAGCAGGGTCCCCAAGCCGCGGCCCATTGCCGGACCTTGAGCCGATCGGAACCAGGCCATGGAAGTGGCAGATGAGCACGTGTGCACATGCGCACATCCCCTCTTGCGTGAGCAGTAGGCGAGCACGTGGGCTCCATTTGCCCAAGCAATGGAGCTGTGCATGTGCATGCCTGCCGCTGGCGCAAAACGCTCCCCTCTCCACCCTCCGCCAGTCCACGAAGGCAGAAAGGTTGGGGAACCCTAGACCAAACCAGCTAGTTTAAACTGAATTAGCAAATTAGTCACAGAAACACAGCAGAATTCCAGCTACAGATATCAAAATGCCTTTGGTGAGATGGGCAGCTATGTACATTTGATTAATAAATACATGATTAATATATCAAAGATTATTGCATACCGAAAGAGGTAACTTGTTTTCTGTTTTTCAGAGACTATGAATAAAATCAATATGGCGGTTAGGAAGAATTTCCTGGAGCTCTTAATGGTGGAATATATTGCCTCATGAAGTAGTATGTTCGTTCACCAGAAATCTTCAGAGCCTCAATCGGCACTGAAGGGAAGTTGGACTAGATGGCCTCTGATGTTCTTTCTAATGAAAATTAGTCTCCATGTGATTTGTGGCCAATTATCACATCAGTAAGTGACTCTACTCAAGATTCGCATACAAGTTCCTTGTTTGGCACTTAAGATGTTGTGCCTTAAAGCTAAGCAACGATGTTTTATTCAGCAAACCACAATTAACAAGCCATGGCTCAGCATGCTATGTACACTAAAACTAAATCTCACTGCCTAAAAAGTGGATTCTTTTAAAGATTTAAAGGAGCAATCCTGAGAAAGAAGGGCAAATGGGGATTTCTTAAAATGATGAAACTGGCAAAAAATTGTTATTGGGCAAGGTAAACATCCTCGAGATACTGGAAGTGAGTCTAGCAGCATTTTCTGTGAAATATTGGTGGGGGCTGTTGTATGGCACAATTAAGTACTGTGCAGTAGTCTTTGATTTTATTGGGACAGGAATGTCTGTTGTGAAGTGGTGCGGTTGTTAAATGAGCCTAATGTTATGATCTAGTTTGCCACAGTTATTAAGAGAATCACTCAGTCATTAAGTGAATCTGGCTTCCCCTACTGATTTTGTTTGTTGAAAGCCCCTGGAAAGGTTGCTTGCCTCAGCAGACCTGAAGGTTTAAAAACTTGCTATTTTCTGCCGAACATAAAAGCAGACATTCACAAGTTAAATTCCCCAGCTATCAGCTAATTTTTCTGGGCAATTCTTAAAATAAACACAGGATTAGATCGTAATAGTTCAGGAAAATGTGTTGCTAAACAAGTTTACTTTTTCCCCTGGTGGAAAGTTGAGCAGGGAAATTGGTTAGACGCGATAACATCTCATGCATTTTGCTGATGAGTGTCTTTACTTGAAAACCCAGGCAGAAGTCAACAAAATTGTGCAAAAGCTGTCAGACCTCATCCCACAAAAGGAAGCACTGACATGAAATACAATGCAGGTCGATGAATAATATTTCTTTCCTGCTGTGCTTTTCCAAATAAAGGGAGACCTGGGATAAGCAGCTGGAAAAAAATACCTTGCAATGATTTTTTCTGTGCATTCCAACACACTTTTCCAGCACCCTTCTCATAGCAGCACCTTTCAAACCACTCGGACAAACACCCACACACACCCACACACAAAGTTTCCTCATTAGAAAGAAGTTATGGTGTAAAGCCTCGTTACACTTTAACATCTGCCAAAAAATTGTGTTGAGTTTTGGTGAGGTTTAATAGCAAACTCATTGTATGGACAATGGGGATTATGTATTGAGGAAGAAAATATGTCACAAAAACAGACTGCCAAAAAAAAACCAAAGAACCCTCCCGACAAAAGCCATAACAAGACGTAAGAAATCAGGGCATTATACATTGTAATACTTTTCTGCAGAGATAGAAACGGGTGGGATTCAAGCGGTGTTACTACCGGTTCGGTTATTACGTTTTGCGTCCAGGTATGTAAATTTTTGATCAGAGTCATTTGGGTAGTTTCTGTTGTCATTATGATTTAAAAAGAGTAAACACAGTTGACTGATAATAAATGGCTTCAGCCAACCACTAACCATGAGTGAAAGAAACGGTTTTTGTGTTATCATTCATATTCTCTGAAAAATGGCCAAGAAATCATTAATTCTGCCAGGGTATGTAAACTTATGAGCACAACTGTATAGTCATTAACCACAACAATTATTCAATTATATCCATGAGAAAACCATGGACTTTCTTTGCCTTACCTGGATGACGTCCTTCCGCAGGTTAACAAGGTACAACCAGTCGCTGAGCCTGGGATAGCTGTTCAGCTCAACTGTCCTGTCATTTAAGGGGACGCTGAGCTTGCACTGTAACTGGATACCAATATAACGGACCAGTTTCACCTGTGGAAGGAGGAGAAAAAGATTAAAATAGCTCCAAGAAATGAGTCAGAAACAGCAACATGGGAAGGAACTGACATGGGTTTCATCTCATTCACAAACTGAAACGAGGTGGCCTTTCAGTGTTGCTCATTCTGTCAACAGTTAGGGATGCATCCAGGTATTTTATTCACAGTCCCTTTGCTTGGTAATCAATGCTCAGCCTCAGTATTCCACATGTGTAAAATGGGAATAATTGAATTTTTACAACTTGGGGGGGAGGGGATGTAAGCTGTATTACATTCCTTCTTGTCAAGACAAAAAACATGTGATCTAGTCAGTTATCTTGATGTTATTTTCCTTCCAATTTTTTTTTTGCTTTCTCACCCTCCCATCCCCATTTTCCTGCCTTAACTTTTAAGAAAACACAATTTTCCAGGCCCTTCTGACTACATTCGATTTCAACTCTACAATGTGATCACTTGATTTAGGAGATGCTGCTAAGGAAAACTGTATCTTGTCTGATAACAGGAAGGAAAATTGAGCAAAGGAAATTTTCTCTTGGTTCAGTAAAATTAATCAAAGTATTATAAATATGTGTGTGTGTGTGTGCATGCATACACACACACACACACATTGGGGTATGTATGTATATACACACAAAGTAATACTTTAACAAGTACTCATCTTAAGTTAAACACCTCTACTATATAATTAATAATTGTGATATGAGTTGTAGTGGTTTCTTTTCAATGCTATACTTAATTTCGGATGAAAAAGCGGTATTATTTTATGCTTGAGCCGTAATATTACCAGCTGAATTATAATTAATCTTTTTTTTCTATTCTCAGTATTCTGTTGTTTAAACAATACAATATTAATGATTCTTAAATACATTATACAAACATCAAAGTAGAGAAACAACACAAATGTATTAAGATTTATAATAATATAATAAAAAGGGGGAAATAACTAAGGTATCATGAAACTGACTTGATTTATAATATAATAAAAAGGGGGAAATAACTAAGGTTTCATGAAACTGACTTGATTTACAGTATAATAATATAATAAAAAGGGGAAATAACTATGGCATTGTGAAACAGATTTCCTCGGATCATAACAAGAGTACTGTAGAAAGTTAGCACCCACCCCTCTCCTAGAAGAATGAAATATTCTAGGAAATATTAAAAAGGCAGAATATTATATTTCCCTGGATGAGAAAAGGAAAAACATGTTTTTAAAGACAAAGCAGCTTCCTGTAGCTCCCTGCCCCCACCCCCTTCAGCTCCAGGGTGATGGGATGAAGACATAGCCCTCAGGACATGATAGGATTAGCCCTCTACCCATCTCACCACATGGCACCTGGGAAGATTACATCACCCAGCAAGGTTCAACCAAATTAACCCGGCATGGCCCCATGGGAGTCTGACAACCAATCAGAATACATTTCTTGCCACAGGAACAGGAAGCAAATTCAAAGCCCAACAAAGGTTATAAATCTCTCTCCCTCTCTTACCCATGTGCTCTTTTTTGCCCAGGACCTCAATGTGGTCCTGTCCACCATTAAACCATCTTTCTAAGCAGTCTCCATGTTTTCAGTGTCTTTCTTCCCACTTGGAACTGAACCCAGATGAACATTTCTTCCAACAGTAGTCCTTGACTTATGATCACAATTGGGACGGGAACTTCTATCGCTGTGCAAGGTGATTAAGAGTGAGTTATACCCAATTTTACAAACTTTTTACCATGGTGGTTAAGCAAATACCACATGTTTGTTAAGTGGCTTCCCTCACTGATTTTGTTTTTCGGAAGCCCCCCCGAGAAGGTCGTAAATAGCAATCCCATGATCTTTGGGAATGCTGCAACCATTGTAAAAATACATGTCAGTTGCAAAGTGCACGAATTTGGATCATGTGGTGCAGGGATATACAACGACAGTCGTAAGTGTGAGGATTGGTCATAGGTCACTTTTTCACCTTTTTTTCTAAATTAATAAAAAAAAAATACATACTTTGGAGGAGGGTCAGTTAAGGATTACCTGTAATAAGATTATTAGCCTCAATCCAATTTATGTCATAGGTCTCAATATTTCTAGTATTTTTTTTAGATGGAAACTTTTGTATTCAGAATCCCTTGCAACTTTCCTTAATGTAGACTGTTAAAAAGTTTTTTTTTAATTAACACCAGGAGCATCCGTTAGGGATGATTTATAAAAAAAAAAGGAAGAGGTTAACTGAGATCACACTGCTGAAGCTCCTCCCCCTTTAATGTATGACCTATTGAAAAGACGGCAGGGCTTTCTTTGTGTTGTCACGGATGCCATTTTGACTTTTTGGAGCAGCCCTGTAGACACACCTGTCTAACCTGGTTTTTAAAATCAAATTTTCCCAAATTTTCTCCTTTGTGTACAAAATTTTGATTTGATAGAGGTTGACAGCCCAAATCTTTGCAGCCCATAAAAAACATAAAAGAAAATAAAGATTTAAAAAAAGAAAAATAGGAAGGAATGGAGGGAGGGAAGGGAAAGGAAAGGAAAGGAAAGGAAAGAAAGGAAAGATAAAGAAATGGCTTCCAATCTTCTTGACAGCGATTACAGTTACATTTATAGTTTGCTTTCTCTCTCTCAAATTACATCTTAATTTCCTTCTTTGCATAAACTTTCTGATCTTTAAACTCATAAATCACAAGTTTGTTTTTCCCTTTTTTCAGCAAAAAATCCATAAAGGGCCAACTCATAACTTTTTCTCATGGCTTTTTACACTATGTCAGCTTAGGAAAAAAACAAGTTTCATAGTCATATCTAAAATCAAATACTCTTCCACCCCACCCCACCCCCCGGGGCAATTGGAAAAAAATTCTGAAATGAAAAGCTACAAATATCTTCTTTGTTTGATAAATAACATGCTCAATCTTTCCTCTGCCTATGGCCATAAAGTTTTTCCTGTGCTGTTTTTCCAGTAATTTCAGCAACGAAAGCACACGGCCAGAATAAATGTGTCAGGCCTTAAAATATTATAATTTTATTTTGAAGAAAAAAGTTTCAGTTGCCCTAAAGGAAGTTTGAAAAAAACAACCATATAGAGACCTTCTCAGTTTTATCTATTTTTCATGAACTAATTGTTGTTTCGTCCTTTTAGTTTTCTACATAGGTAACTCTTTCCCTACTCCTTCCAAATCAACTAGAGGAAAACTACCTATAGTTTGTTTGGATCAAATTTGTACCATCTGGATAGAACTATGCACAATCCTCCTTGTGGCCTGCCTAGCAGGAACGCAGGGTTGACCCATGATTCTCATTTGCTAACTCCACTTCCAACGATCTAGCGAATCACTAACAAGTGATGCTTTATGACATCCTCAAAGTCTAGAATCTCCAGTTAAAACAATCCAGCATGGTCATGGTTCGTCTGAAACAACTAAGAGAGTTGGACATCTGAAAGTTCTTGAGAACTTCAGGGCACCAAGTTGGAGAAGAGAGAGCTAGATCTAGAAGGAAAATTTGAGTGCTCCAGAGCTAAAACTGTTTAAACAGCTCCTTCTCAGGGTAAAACTAAGGTGGGAAGTGGTGGAGAGACAGAGGCAAGATTTTATTTATCCCGGGTTTATGGACAGAAGCTTTCAGGGCCTTCCTTCATTTTTCCAACTCAGATAATTCAAGCATGCTTTAGGGCCCACACTAAAATTTTCATAAATTTCCTGTCTCAAAAGTCTGAAAAAACCGCACACCAATTTTCAGTAAGTGAAGCCACAAATCTTTCCAGGCAGGAGGGTGGGGAGAAAAAAAGAGGTTGGGGGGGGGGGCAGATGCTGTTCCAGGTTGACCCTCCCTGATTTAGACTGTAAAATTTTAAGAAGAAATTCTTTCTTTTGCAAAACTGTCGTGTTTTTGAGATGTTATCTGAGAACTGGGTAGGACTTGCTCATCAGAACAGATTCGCAGAGCTGGGAGAACAAGTAAATGACTGAGCAAACTGCCAGGACATTAAACCCCCATAGATCTTGCCAAGAGTCAACTATAGAAAGAAGGGAAAGCTGCCTACACTTAGATGATGTCCACCTGTCAGCCCTTCGAGGTAGACCAAGCCAGGAACCACACTCCATAAGATGGCTAGAAGTTTACTTTATTGACATAGAGTAAAATAAGATCTTGAAAACCTGACTGCATTTCCCCTTCCTTTTAGACCCAGGAAATAAAGACAGTATTCATTTGAATGTCTTTTTAATACTTTTTTTTTGTTCCCCAGGCTTAGAACCTGTTTTTTACGGTCACTGCTTAGTTTCTCCAGAGTTCTCACTGTGGATCTCAGAATTGGAAGTGACCTTAGAGGTCTTCTAGTCCAGGGGTCGGCAACCTTTTGACCTCAAGGACCACCAAACTCATAATTTTAAATCCCGCGGAGCAGAGACCCTCGGAAAATCCCCCCAAAAGTCTGCAGGAAAATTCCCCACCCCATTTTCCTACCGATCAATCATTCTTTATTTGGGATCACAGGATACCGTCACCAGCTCTGTTCTCGGGGAGAGAGAGAGAGAGACTTTTGGCTTCATGCAAGGAAAGCAGCAGAAGTCTTTCTTTCTCCCCCCCAAACTCCGCCAGAATGACGCAGCGTCTTGGAGCAGGATGCCTTGCAGGGTCCCAAAGACTCATTTCTGGTGGAGTTTGGAGGAGAGATACTTTCAGAGATGCGTCTGTCTTGAAAATAGCCCATGTTGAATTATATAGCCCAGTGAGACATCAGCACAGGAACTGTTTTATGACACTTTGTATTATGTCATAAAATGCTTTATGATCTCTTTAATGTCCTGAAATGTTTTCTAAGACTAGACTAGAGCACTGCACACCAGAACTAGACACAAGGACAGTTTTTCCCCAAACGCCATCACTCTGCTAAACAAGTAATTCCCACAACACTGTCCAACTATTTACAAAGTCTGCACTACTATTACCACTGTATTAATCTTCTCATCACTCCTTATCACCCATCCCCTCCCACTTGTGACTGTATGATTGTAACATTGTC